CATAACTTCTTCGTTATAACTCGGATTTCAACATTCTTTATATGTACGGAACCCTTGAGACGTATTCTACAACTTGGTTAAGATTATTTATTCTAAATAATCTTTTGTCAAAAAGTCGTTTTCGACCCCTATTATCTCTAAATTGACTAGCCCGGATCTACGGGCGTTACATTATATATATACGTAAATTTTCTACAAATAACTTCATATTAAATATAACTTTTTTTGTCCCTTCGGGGACATCCGATAAAATTAACACGATACAGAAAAAATTAATATGGCCCCTATGCTAGGATGACACGCACAAGTCGAATTAGACATTAAGATGGTGTTTGTTTTGAAAGAGGTAAAATGTCTTCTGTCTTTTTCTATGTCTGCGGAGCTGGCGGTGATGGCAGAGGTCGGGGTGGTGGTGGCGAAGGCGGAGGTAGCGGCGACAGTGGTGTTGGTGGCAGTGACGGCAGTGACGTTGGTGGTGGTAGCGATGTCAACAATGGTGGCGAAGGCACCGGTGGATGTGGAAAAAGAAATATCAAGGCATGATTAGAACTTAGAAAATGTATTTCCAAGTTAGAAGCTATTTTTTTTTGTCTCTTCTTTTGGCTTCTAAAAACAAATCTTTTTATCAAATGTCTTTCCTCTTACAAAAATGAAAGATCAAAGACAATTTTAGAGAAAAACAAACATCACCTAAATTTTTCTTTATATGTAATTTATGGAACCGGTAATCATCTCTTTATTTACTTTCTCCGTAAAAAAAACTATTGCACGTGCATAACACGGTGTCTTCCAGAAAATTTAATTATTTAATGTGATGATGATGAAACTAATTATCAAAGAATCGATAAGGACTACGTGGCCATTCTGATTCACTGTATCCCTGAACCAAGACAAAAAGACAAATTTACAAACAGAAAAATCAATCATTTACTTGTAAAAGTTTTCTTTCACTCACTTTATAAAAAGATTATCCGAAAAAGAATTAAGATAACATTAATGTATTTTTGCCTTTAGATAATAGTAATGTGTTTTTTAATAGGAAAATTACTTAATTTTTTTTCTTGTTTATTATAACATTAAATTTCTTGATATGGTCAAAATAACATTATTATAACCAAAATTAAGAGGTTACTGCTAATTTGACATATTTTATACTGTTGATGATAACCGAGGAAACAGCCGATGTAATACATTCCCGAATCGAAGCTCGCCATTTGGGACAAAATTTATTTGATCTCATAGGCCTTTTCAAAGGTTTTTCTGAAATCGAATTTGAATATAAAAGCCTTTTGTTTACGTTTCTTAAGCCAAGTCGTTATTTCATTGATTATTTACGGGGCATCGACGATATTTCTATCCTTGATGAATATTTACGGGGCATCGACGTTTCTTAAACCAAGTCGTTATTTCTTGTGGCCCACGTTAAGTCTCTCGTTTTACAATGGTTTTGCATAAGCATCCGGTCAAGCTTATGGGGAGATAGTCGGTTAACGTGTTCGGATATGAGATTTTAGGTATGAAGGTATAAAAAAAATTACAACCTTTATTAATAAAACAAGTAGCTTGGAAATGCTTGATTGTATGATAATAATCTCCACCGATGAGATTATATGAACTTTTTAAGAACATAATTCTTTTCTTTTTTAAGGGTATTCCCATTTTATTACAATCTACCCCGACGAAGACTCACCATTTGGCGTTTTATTAGAGCATACGGTGTGGGTCGTGTTGCTTCTTGTTGTGGCTGAGTTGGCTGCCCATAACGCCGTTATAACATCAAGAACACCGCCCCCCTTCCTTGTTGTTTCTTGTTGTCTCCATGACAAGAAGAAACATGGTCACCTATTGGCTGCCAAATTATCTCTCTCTATCTCTCTCCTCTTAACATGGTGTTATAACACCATGAACACCACCCCCTCATCTTGTTGTTTCTTGTTATAACACCACTTCAAGTTGCCCATACCATATGTTCTTACAATCTACCCCGACGAAGACCAACCTAAGGTATGGTTCAAAAAAGTTACAACCTATTTATAATGATATTATTATGCACAACCAATCTAAAATAAAAAAAAATAATAATAATAATAAAAAAGTTTGAATTTGTTAATTAAATAGTTCCTACTATTTTAGGAAACAACATGGATGTTTGGGATTAGGGGGTAGATTAAAAAACAGGAAACTGATAAGATGGTGATTGGAATCTACCACCCTTTTCCAATGAAGATCTTTGACTTGTTTTACCACAAAGTGATTCCTTATTATAGTAATATCACCTCCATATGTTCACACATCATTCATTGCATCATCAACCCACATAAAACAAAATAAATAACAAACAATTGTTTTTTAAATAGATTCCTGAATTACACCGCAACTGCTATGGTTAAAAGTTAAAACCGATTAACCGAGTATGAATAATGAAAGTCCGTCTATAATAGCTTGCATGTTTTACAAATTACATATGTTAGAAACTGATGCATTATGAAATCTTTCAAAAGTTATACAAGTCTATTTGTATTAAAATTTACAACCAGACCACTTGTAAGAACTTCTATTCCACGAGTCCGGGATGAGTAATGTTTTTTTTTCATTATTGAGTCATGTATAAATAATGTAGTCGAGACAGTAATAATGTTTGTTTGCATAAAATGATGCATAGCATATATAAAGGAAGAAGGATAATGGGTAAGGGTGGATGTCTTAATATATCAAACTATCTTTTCCTTGACTTAGCTTATCAAGTCATTATGTTTTTTTTTAATAAATGGCTTAAACACATGTATTCATCATTTGCTCATAAATCTATACTTTTCGTCTCAAACAGAACTTAAATCATCAACTTTTGGGCTAATGGACACTTATGAGTCAATTCCTGATACTGCTAGGATAAAAACTTTTTGATATCGAGTCAAGATGTGTAAAAAGTAAATAAATAAAATTGATTTATAACTATCCATATTATATGTTTAACTCATTAAGCTCATTATATATATAAAAAAAAATCTTAAATCTCACATAAAAAAACAAAGGTATAAAAAAAACACAATCCATATGCATTATCTTACCAACTGATCCTTAGGAAACCAACAATCATAACACCAACACCACGTCACTGATTAGAACTATATCGAAATTATTAAAAAGAAAAAGGAATCAAAGAGCAGATGCTTGGATATGACACATATCTCATTGTGTTTAGAAACACACATGCTAACACTAGAAAACAAATATATGAATTAACTATTAAAAAGGCTTTTCTAGAAAAAGTTGCCAACGGAAATAACAGGTAGGTATTGTTGTATCTTTTTTAATATTCTTTTAACATAGTTTTGTTGAATATATATATATATATATATATATATATATATATATATATAACAATTTACATTTTATAAGGTTGTATAGTATAATATTTTGAAACATATATTTTTGTTCATGAAAAAAAATATTTTGTACAAATCATCTCTTGTTAATTAGTTATACACTCGATAAATCTAATTTGAAAATACATAAATAATTAACTTAAAGTTTTATGTCATTAGTAGTCCATCATTCTATACTTGCTAACCAAGTAGAAACCCAAAAAACCTAAGACGTGCAAACTTTATTTATGTAAATAAACTAAATAAAATATAAGGCTCGAGGGAGTGGTGTCACAAAAACCGTACTCCCTCCTCTGACATGTAGGAGCCACATAGGTATCATATCATTTATAGTTTTATCCCACACAAAGTATGGTTCTTTACCACACCTAAGGTGTGGAATATATGAGAGAGAGAGAGAGAGAGAGAGAGAGGAGTGCGGCGGAAATTGGGAGAGGTGCGGCCAACCTGCACCCAAGACCGTATAGGGGGCGGTGTTCCCCTGCCTATGTGGCGGTGAGTGAGGCCAAACCACGGTCCATTCTCTTGAGCGTAATTGTTTTTTCACAGTAAGAACAGTAACGTTAAATAGAAGTTTCTAGATTATTAAGAAACATGATAAGACACTAACTAGTAAACGAATAATTGTTGACCCCAATGCGCATTAGCGATCGATGGAGGCTCAACATGCCCTTGCCTTTATGTTTGACACGTTTGATGTGTTAACAAAACGCATCATATGAGAGGATTAACAGATTCCAAACAGATCATGGATGTATGGATAGAAAGAAACTATATATACCATAAAAAGATCTATATTATTAATCACAAAAATAAAAAGTATGATTTTAAGAAATATATTAAAATAATCAAACTTTTGGGTATTTGTTATTTTGACCACAGTTTCCAAAATAAAATTTTACCCGTACGTTATGCCATAATAGAATCGTATGGTAATATTGACAGATGTATATTCGTTATTTTCTTACTTTTCGATTTTTTACTATGTGGATATGTAAAAACTCTAAATTTCAAAACCAGTACAATGCACATTATTTTGTTAGTAAAACGGGCACAATAACTATCTCTATAATTCAATGTAACTTTCTAAACATACTAGATACAATTTCCTCGGTTTTTATTGAATGTTTAACTAAAAATTAGTTCAAAATTTTAATTAAAACATGTTCCATTATTCCAGGACCACCTGTTCTATTTTCGAAACTAGATTCATGCAGTTTGGTTGGGTGCCCCCGATGCTTAATCCATTATTAACCAAAAAAATCAAATTAATAATATGAAAGAAAAAATATTTGTCACAAACAAATATAAATGATAAGCTTATATTATAATATTTTATAATAGATATATAAATACAAATATATAACACATGTATCATATGTTTTAGTTACTTTAATAAAATTGCACATAAAGAATGGTGGAATATATTGGCCATGTAACAGTATAAAGTGTATTTGTATGTATGAAATGTTGGTCAAATTATGTGACATGTGTGGTTGTGTAGTACTATCATATGGCAGCAACCCCGCGGAGAACACAAAATTACAATAAAGCCCCTCAAAATCTCATCCATCGTCATCATAAATATCTCCCCAATTGCTCTTCTTCATCTTCCCAATCTTTGGAGAGAGAAACAGAAATCTTGCGAGAGAAAGATCTTGAGACAGAGAGAAAAACATGCTACGATTCTTAAAATCTTTGTCGAGAACAGTGCATGAAGAGCGATATCAAGATCCAGAACCATCGAATGGCGGTGGTGATGATGGAAGCCACGGTGGCGATGATGATGGTGGTTGTGGGCCGACGAGTTTAACGGTGTGGAGGAAGTCATTGTTCATAGGTTGTAGTGGGTTCACGGTAATAAACTCCGACGGTGACTTGGTATATAGAGTTGATAATTACGGCTGCCGCCGGCAACAAGAAGTCGTTCTCATGGATGCTTCCGGGAAACCCATGTTCACTGTTTCCCGTAGCAAGGTACTTTTACTTTTACAGATAAAGTTACTGTATTTAATTTACTTGTTATAATTGAAGTACGACATTTTCTTTGAAAAAATTCATTCAATTCTTCGGATCCCATATTTATATTTCCTTTAAGTTCGCTCATAAACTATATATGAAATATATTTTATATACCTTACCTTGTCGACATATTTCTTATGCTTTGGAATATGTATTACCAGAAACTAAAGATAGTGTATAATTTATAGGTATTCGAAGGTGAAATATTATCGAAGAAACAAAAACCAATATGTTGTGCAAGAAAACATGTTGATATTCTACGTCCGAAGGTAAAGATATTAGCTCAAGTTTATCCAACACCATATGATGAGAAGACAGGAGGGTATGTGATTGAGGGATCATACGTGAACAGATCATGCAAAGTTCTTGATGAATCAAGAAATGTATTGGCTGAGATTAGAAGGAAAGAAACTACCACAAAAGGTGTTTCTTTGGGGCTTGAAGTTTTCGTGTTGGTTGTAAATCGAGGGTTTGATTCTGGTTTAGCAATGGGTATAGTTTTGTTATTAGATCAAATGTCACTTTGACCATTGTAACAATATAATATTGTGTTATATGTGAGATTAAGTAAATCCAGGGTAGCGAGTTGAATCAGTGGCGAATCTAGAATTGTCGGTACTACCAGCTGGTTTATCGGACAACAAAGAAAAAATCAGGCTATGTAAAACATATATGTTATGTGTCAAATCTGACTGAGAGGACGAATCCATACATTTTTCATTGGAGGAACTACAAATTGTCGGACAAGAGTTTCATTTGGTATAGAATCTAGGTTATGTTAAAGATATTGTAAGTCTCATATTTGACTGAGACACCCCTCATACCGCATTTTATTGGTACTAGATCAACTCATGTATAAATTCACATGTATGTATAAATTATATCGAATATCGATCACATATGATCTATCTTTTTCTTTCCTATGAGAATTGTAACACGGTACCTATTGCTTAATCATTAATCAAATATCGAAAAACCATGCCAACCTAAACATTATTATCAATTGTTGCATAATAATGGCAACGATTAATTAGGTAAGTTATCACATGTTGTATTAGCATTGTGTAAAACTCCGTTTGAACCGTTCAGAAACGTGGTTGTGCCGTCTCTAATATCCCGATCTTTTGTATTGGTATGTAACTGTATATTTGACGATTTCTCGAGACTCGAGCATCTAAATTACTATCAATAATGATAAGTTAGCTTTGTTTGAGAAACTAATAGTAATTTAGGAGAAACTTGTGTACCTAAGTTGAAACCACCAATTTGTAACATAATAAAGTAGGTAAGTAGATTAAAAATGAACTACCACTATGTATCCAGTTTATATGTTCAAAAAACATTATTAAACTGACATTTGATGTTTAAAAACATCAATTAATTCGCATTACAGTTTACCATTAAACTATTTTGTATGCATATTTAGTCACCTTCATTTTTCCGGTATTTGATCATCTTCTCCGGCTAACACAACTCCAATGAAGTAAAATAACACCATTTTGCATGTTTATTTTTAAAAAATGTTGCAATACGGGTAATCATCTCATTTTTTTCTCAAATAAAAATGCTCTCACCCCCTCAATTTACTATTGTTAGCATCCCTCCTGCCATTGCTTACACATTTCCATGCTCCTCTCCTTTTCCTGATATTTTGCAAAACCCACCCTACCCCCACATTCCTATCTATCCCACTCTCTTTTATCTTTATTCTTGAATCACACGACACAAGTAACCACTTCCACTCAAAGATATGGATAGTGTTGGTGGGAGGTAGATGGTGGTGATGAGAGTGGATGGTGTTAATGGAGAAGGTTATTGATACCATCGTAAGTCGTGTACAAGATAATTAATGATAAGTCATGTATAAAAAACATTATCATGCAATACTCTATCAATATGGAAGGTTTTCATTGATGATATATTGGTCTATTCTAAGACCAATGAGCAGCATGAGGATCATCTATGAGAGGTTTTGTAGACTCTGAGGAGGGAGAAGCTTTCTGCCAAATTCTCCAAGTGTGAGTTCTGGTTGCACGAGGTGCAGTTCTAGGAAAACCTCTGTTGGATTAGGTGTCTAAGCCCATAACTATAATTGGTATGTACTTAACCCGAGAGTTGCATGGTCCATTTGGGTTGTATATCACCAGGACAATTTGATAGGATGGACTTTTGAGAAGAGGTTATTTATGATTTGTTAATATATTATAAGTTCTAATATATTAATATGAAATCATATTATTTAATTAGTATTGATCAAGAATTAGTTTGGAATTAATTTTGTGATCAAAAGAGACTAATTAAATATAAAGGGTTGATTTGGTAAATCATTCATTCTTATGGTGTGGGCCAATGATCCATGATTCCTTAGGTTGGGCTAAACCCATGTGACAATCCATGGATGATCCATGGAGGTTTAAACCCATGGAGCCTAAAGAATATGGAAGGTCATGCCCATTAGGGTTTACATGGTGTAACCCTAATCATGCCACACTATATAAGAAGTCCCTTAGCATCCAAAATGGCACACTAGATCCTTGGAGTTCCATGAGCCGATTTTGGTGTAATAAATACTCTCTCAAAAGTCTCTTTTGTTCTAGGTGTGTTGTGATTCCATTTGAGGCATTCACACTATTGGTGCTAAGTTCTTAAAGGCCAAAACTACAAGCTACAATTAAGAGGTAATTCTATAACTCAATTCTATGTTGATTATGTCTTTTGCATGCTAGTTGTAAGCTTAATGATTTGAAAACAATATTGCATGTATAATTAGAGAAAACATAGATCCAAAGCATTTAGGGTTGTATGTGCACCACAGGATGTTGTAGTATACCAAAACCCATCAGTGGTATCAGAGCCAGGTTTGTTTTCCATTATACTCGATGCTTATTGGTTTTTAAAGTTGAAAAAAATTGAATTTTTTGCATCTGACTGATGGACTCACCAAGTCTACTGGCTGACTCGCCGAGTCCACTTAGAAACGGCCCAACTCGGCGAGTCCAGTTCATGTACTCAACGAGTTGGTGCCCCTGTGTGCAGATTTTCAAGTTTTTTGGCCTGTTTTGGATTAGAATTATTACCACAAAATGTTTTAGTTCATAAAATTTGATTTTGTTGATATGGTAATGATGATTCTCATCCAAATAAAAGATAATTGTCAAAGTTTCATGTTTTGTATTAGTTTATATGATTAGGCTAATTTCTTGAAACTTGTTTGATATGAATTATCTTAACTTATGAGTTTAATTAGATCATAGGCAAATTGTTTGATTTTGTTAGTTGGATTTTTTGATCTAATTGAATTTGGTGAAATCCATAACTTGTCCTCAAGTTATGGAAAATGAAAGGTCTCCTTTTTAATGTCATCTTAAATGGTTTTAAGTCTTCCATAACTTGTCCTCAAGTTATAGAACTTGAAGAGTCTTTTACATAAATGTTTTTTATGAACTCCATAACTTGTGCTCAGGTTATGGAATGTCAAGAGTCTTTTCATAAAACATTTATTAAACTCATAAGTTATGGATACCAAAAGTTTTTGAATAGTTCAAAACTTGCCCTCAAGTTTTGGAATTTATAAATGCAAAGTCTCACTTTGAAACATTTAGTTCCAAACCCTAGAGTTTTAAAAGTTTAAAATTCAATACTTATACTATTATAGTATTGTAGGTTTAGTATTTATATATGTATAAGAACAAAGTCAGTCTTACCGTTAGTAGGCATCATTCACAAAGTCGGTCTATAAGGGGGTATAAGGTTACTGCCTATAAAATGGTAGTTTAATGGGTGTCCACTCTCACCCACCGCTTCCTTGACTGGTGGAGGGTCGTTAGCCGAATGGGTTTGACAGGAAATTTAAATTTTTATTAAAAGTATAATGAAATACTAAGTAACTAAACACTTATAAATTCACAATCTTAGTTACTTAGGAAAAATGTGAATTTGGTGCTAACCTATGAAATTGCACTTTTCACCTTGTTAAGTCGTTAGTGGAGCGTGTGTGGTTAACCGGCACACTAATCTGGGACTGACAGTTCGTGGCAAAGGGTAGCTTGATGTTAATCATAGATCAATGGAGCGTGTGTGGTTAACCGGCACATTGATTAGGTGGTTGTAACATTGGGTGTACCAAGCTAACATGCATGGTTATTCACACCTTGTTTGTGATCCTCAGCATCCCAGTCATAAACGTGAAGGGCACAATCGAGATTTAAACATGTCATTGAAAAGTTCAATGAATCTCAAAGGATCTAGAAATTTCAATCCATTTAAAACTTAATAATCAATTTCGTTTTTCATGGTGGAAATTGGTAAATCGTCAATTACCCACCTTCAAATATTTTACAATTGGATTACGACATCCCTCTTCCGAATTGTAAAATATTGGGTTGGGTCCTAGCCTTAATATTTCATTTGGGTGTTATATTAGGGACTTAAATCAACTAACTTGAATTTATCTCTTGTAGATGTCTAGTTCAGACAACTATGGTCTTCCCAAATCTTTTAGAATAAGCTTTCCTCTTGAAGATGATGTTCCACGGTTGGATCGTGGAACTGGAAATCATACTTCACTTCCTCCACCTCCTCCGATTATTCTCCTTGGCCCACAAGTTCGAAGACTTGAAAAGTTTAAGATCGCTCAAGCCCTATTGGATAGAAAACACAAGGATGGAATGTTTGTGTGCACATGTCTTGGATATGAAGTCACACATTGACAGGCTGAGAATGTTGGGTGTCGTGTTCCCAAGGAAGTTGGCTATTGACTGGGTTCTTCAGTCACTTCTTGAGTCATATAGTGAGTTCATTAAGGACTACTATGTGACAGATCACGACATGTCCCTTATTGATCTTACTTATTTGCTGATTGTTGTTGAATCAACAATGATTTGGCGCAATGGTCAAGCAAATTTGACTGGAAGATCTACATCTCAAGCTGACATGGGCAATGACATGGATATCCCAGAAATGATTCCTTCTCCTAAAGGAAAGGAATTGGCCATGATCAAAAGTTTTGATCATAAGGGAAAGGCCAAATCTGAGATTGTTCCATGTGCCATTCCCAATGAGGCTGTTTGTTTCTATTGCCAAGGAAAGGGACATTGGAATCGAAGTTGCCCTGACTACCTGAGAACTTTAGTCAGATTGTATGGTTTTGCTTCAGGTAAGTCCGTTATCTAACTCTATTAAGTTCCTAATTGTTGATTCTTAATACATGATGTGACAAGGTTGCATTTTGATGGATCATGCAAAAGGAAGGAATCTTAAAGGAAGAGTATGCTGAATCTGGTCGCGAAGATGGATTTCAATCGCATGGTTCGATGATCGGATTTTTGAGCTGCTACTTAAGAGTTATGATAGATTGCTTAGAAATATGTAGTAACATAGTTTTCATTTGTAATTGCATTGTAAGGAAAAGTTTTTCCGTATTTTATAAATAAATAAAATTTTGTTTTTATTTCTCCTTGCAATGGAATTTGTGAAAAATTGATGTTTGTATGTTTCTATGTTAGCAATATGAATTTGATTCATTCGTTTGTGGTAGTGTCGAGAATTTACCAAATAAGGAAAGATTCTCATCACCCAAGTTTCAATTGGATAAAAACTTGGAATCATGCAATTGGTATTGTATGATGAATGAGAATTTTCGTCTTTGGGAAATTAAGACTAATTCCTTATTCACATGAATATGTGAGTCAAGTGAAGGACTAGGGGATCGGGTACACTGGGTGTGCGCTGGTCAGGTCCACCACAAAGAATGATAAGACTATTCGTCATGATTTACTAAAGTTGAGTAAATATGGTTATGCTTACAAGTTTAAGTATAATTCTGAACATTGGAAAAGTTACAA